TAGCTTTAGACAAGATTTTATCTATTCAACGTTGAAAACATATTTTTACTCATGCAATTATTATATCAATTGCTAACATACTTGTATAAGTAATAAGTTGGCAAATTTCAAGATAAGAGTTAGAACATAGAATTTGATTCAAGAAGTTGATAATTTGTATACTCCATATTTTACTATGTTTGTTATAATGCTTGAAAATCTAAGAAAAAATAGAACAAGAATTTACAATTCGCTTTGTTCAACACTTTTTGACTATTGATTCATATTTTTAACAGAGTACTACTCTAACTTATCAAAAATTTAAAGAAGAGAGTGTAATAGGAGTTAAAAGAATAATGTGAATATTAGTGTAGAGAGTGTAAGAAAATAAAATATTTCTTCTTAATTTCTTCTATTTAAATGGGATTAAAGAGAATAAAATAGTATTTATAATATATATATACATTATAAATAATTATTTTTTTCTATAAAAAAATAAGCACATAATTTATTCTTAGTAAAAATTTAAGTTCCCTAAAATTGGGGGACCTAAGGCAAATGCCTTATTCAAATAAGCATAGAGCTGACCCTGTTTTCTAATACAAATATATAGTCTACGAGAAAGTGGGTTCGTCATTCTCCTAGTTATGTCCCTGCCACCACTTAAATTATATTATGTGCCTCTACTCAAAGCGTCGTGTCCATTATAATTACTAACGCGCTATGGACTAGCTGTCACTTTGCAGTTTACACAGCTTCACTCCAAGTTTTTAGGCATTTGTACATTATTTCAGTTCAACTTGGAAAAGAGTAAAATTTTAAATTACGGTCATACAAAATAATATGTACAGGTTTTAAATTTGTGAAAATAACCGGAAATGCACCTTCAAATCATATTATATTTCAATTGAAACTCATTTCAGTGTATATTTTCATATGGTGTCGTATTTCTTTTTGTTTACCCTTTATACTTGTAATTTCAAAAAGCAAATTATATCCTATAACACCTAGCGGGGGAATAAGTGAAAAATCCTTGAAAACAATTTGCTTGCATATTCCAATTAAATATATTGGCAGCTCCTTCAATTATACATTATTATTAGCATTTAGTAAAACACGAAAACAGAGCCTACTAAATAATTGGCTTCTCCATGTTTATGCTTAATAGACGTTCTTCCAAGTCTTATACAGTATATAAAATGTAAAGCTAATAATTTTCTTAGGTGCGCAACTAATAAGCCTTGGCCTAATTGAACATCTCTAATTAATTAAGCTGAATTCCCAAAATATTGTTGATTTGCATTACCTGTTTTTGTTTGAAAACTAAATCAATTGAGCAAGGAAAACAAAATTAGAAGGTAATATAGACATAGCAAAATAATTTTATCGTATATTATCATAATCTGAAACAAATGAATGAATCAACAAATTGTATCTTACAAATCTATGCTCAACTATATTATAAATATCCTATTATGTAAATACTGTTCGTCTCTCTAGACCAAAGTGGAGCATGAAGATGTAGCAGGATCATATAAAGCAGGAACCAAATATTTCCTTCCGTTTGTACCATGTGCATTGTAGCTTGCACCTGTTGTTTTGTCCACCAATAAATCTCCAGCGTAGCCTGGGTAAGCACCCTTCGCGTAGACACCAGGACAAGCAGATGCAGCTTCCAACGGCGCATCTGCTTCGCCCTGATAATAACCTTTTCCAAATGGGTTTGTGGCGGTTCCAGCTAATAAGCTAGCTAAGTTGATCACCATACCGTCAACACCCACATCGTTGTTTGGTGCACCCAATGGTCGGCTTTGTGGTCCGTAGATAGGCTGGTGGAATGGCCAGGCGCAGTAACCAGGACACAGAGTCTCTGAGTTACCGACCCAGATATAAGCAAATTTGTAAGTTTTGCCCTTAATAACTGCACCCTTAGAAGACCCATGAGTTCCACACCGATTGACACAGAACCCATCAACAGCAACATCAGAGGCGGTCAAAACAACGTTAATGGCGTCTCTCTGTTCACCCTTTGATGCCAATTGCACGATTTGTTTCTGGGTCAGTGATTTTCCAAGGGAATAATTTTCGATGAGAACTTGTTTCCCCAAAGAGAGGGTAAGTGTGTTCTTAGAATTGGCGAGATGGTAGTATTTTTCAGTGGTTTTCCACCATTGTGCTACTGAAGGATTGGTTTTAGATGGAGTTGAAGAAGAAAGAGAGGTGATGAAATCAGATACAATAGCTCTTTGAGATGGTTTGAATTTACCATACCAAATCAGATTAACAGAGATTTTGCCTGATAGAAGTGCACCTTTGTGGTACTCCAGGAGCTGCATTTGTGGGTCTTGGACTAAAGCGCTGAGCTTTCTTGAAGCAAAACACACATTGATGAAAGAAATCAATACAAAAAGTGATAAAATGAAATGGGAAGAAGACATTTTCTTTTTCTCTTCTTAAAAACAATAAGGAGATGTTGAAAACTTTGATGGAAGTTTAGAGTAGTTTACTAGTTTGGATGGAATTTAGGAGAAGAGAAGGGGAATATATATAGTATAGTAGTACTACAATTGAGAGAGAGAGAGAGAGAGAGGAAAAGTGAGTTAAAGTAAAACGCGTTGCCATGATTGATTAACTGGTGCTAGCTGCACAACTTAACAAAACTTTACTCCTATTTAAGTTATAGCGGTTACTACTTCCGCGGCTCAACAGTTCACAATTGACTTCACTGCTACAACTTACAATTAACTTCATTCATTAGTGTTCCTATTCCAGTCTCCTCGGAGTAAAATATACTCAGTCAATTTTAAATTTATTTTGATTTGACATAGAAATCGAAATAGTTGAAAGACTTTTAAATTTTATAATCTTAAATTCAGATGAACCCCTTGCTCCCACTTGGCTCTGTCATAATTGTTGATGGATGAGCTAACATGTATAACATGCAAATGTTAGATCCACCAAACTGTAACTATAAATAATAATTATAACCATGTGTATCAATTGCCACCTATTTTTGTGTTCTAGATTGTACCCTCTTAATACCTGCCCTGTCAAGTTATTACTTTTACAAGTCAAAACTTAAATTCTACCCTTAACGCGTTATGGAGTAGCTAATACTTTACAGCTTCACTTCAAAATCTTTAGTTATTTCGACTATATTTCTGTGGAAATTCACAAAAGAAGTATCTCAAGTTTTCTTTTTCTCTGCATTGAAGTTGGACTAATCCGAATCCGTACCACATAGGGCTCCATTTAGGGGAAGTGCTCCTTGCGCAACCTTATTCACTACACTACAATCATTGGTGGTAAGTATTTGAAGTTCTATTTTCACCAACAAAAAGAGGTTTTTTCCTTACCCAATGGCAAAAGTTCAAGAAAATCTTTGTATAATACATTTCTCTAAATAATTGGATGACTCTTCAATTATTTGCATTTATTAAAATACAACAATATTCCTTCCCATTTTTCATAATAATTGTGCATTATTTAAAAACCATCAATCTTATAATATAGTAGTTGTCATGACAATTGACATCCAAGCCCTACAAAAAAAAGAAAATGATAGAATTAAGTTGGACAAAAAAACCAGAGAGGGCAAAGTAACATATATACTTGCTTGATTTCTAATTCATTGATCCTTTCAGAGAAGTTTGGAAGAATGCCAGAGATGTATATTGTTCTTTTGCCTGGTCGAAACTGGAAACATAGCCCACCAAATTATTGGCTTCTCTAAGGCTATTTTCGTAAAATTTCCACATGTTATTCACCATTACAAGGATAATGCTAAATGGCCAGAAATTAAAAAAATCTTTAATATTTTTTTAATTTTAAAATAAACTGATTTTTTTCCATTTTTTAATAAAAAAGTATTAAAGTTAAAAGGATAAAAATGTTCAAAAAGGTAAAATACCATTCTGGCCAAAAGGACTTTTCCCCATTATAATTTGCTTAGGCGCAACTAATCCTTTAATTTGCCTAGTTAATTGATCTGAATTAATAATGCTAAGATATACACTAAATTAAATTGCCTATCATTGTATTATTGGCCTCTAATTAGTAGAGTTCAACGTAACAAATGTTGGGCATTATTTTCCTCCTTTGTTTGGCTTGGAACTAAAAAGGAGAAGGAAAACGGTTTTACTTCCTCAAAATGGTGGTTAGCTTATTCCTTCATTTGCTTAATAGCAAAACATTAGGACTTTAAGTAAGCAACGTGCCGGAACATGTAGTATGAGATTAATAAATGAATTTTACTTAATTATACTCATTTTATCTCATATTACTTATCCGCTTTTTCTTTGATCAAAACCTTGTATTTGTATAAGAAATTTATTGGACGTACAAATTATTATTCTGATAATTTTTATTTTTATTTTGAAAAAAATGAAATTTCAAACTCATAAACTTTAACTTCTGATTTCGCCTTTGTCCTTAAGAAACCATAATTAAGAACCGCACAGTTAAAATTTCAAGAGTCAATCAATTTTTTATTTATTGATATTTCTGTAAATAACTTTTATTTTAAATTATTATTATGATATATAATACCATAATTTTCAAATATCTAAATTTTATTTGAAATAACTTAAAAATTTCTAAATTCAAATTTAAAATTTCAAAATATCAGTAAATCGAAGCGTAGTACATTCTTAATAAATCTCAATTGTGAGTAGTGAGTACTCTATATTATATTTAAATTTGAAAAAAGAAAACCTGATATAAGCGCGCGATATGCCGTGGTTTGACAGTTATCACTTTTGTCATTTTCGATTCTTTCCACAAAGATGACCGACCAAACACAACTTCATTTTTGTTATTTTGCTGTGACAGTTGGCTCTCTTAAAACCCTCTTCAATCTTAGCTGTAACTTTGCTGTGATCTATGTGCACATTCACTCCTAATCTCTTATTATTAAAATACACTCTTTTCTATTTAATTATATATATTCATCTTCATTAGTTAACCCCTATATATACTTAACACAGTTAACACCCTCTCCTCACTCACTCACTCACACACCAATTCTCAACTATTTTTCCTTCATAATTACCTAAATAAAATGGCTTCTCTCATCAATACAACTCTTTCTTTTTTACTTCAACTTTCAATTGTTCTTTCTTTCTTTCATTTCTGTGTAGCAACCAGGAAACTTGAAGAACAAACTGATCTGTATAAGTTCCATTACCATAATGGCCCTCTTCTTACTGGTAAAATCTCAATTAACCTTATTTGGTATGGCAAGTTCAAGCCCAATCAACGTGCAATTATCTCAGATTTCATCACCTCTTTATCCTCTTCTTCAACAAAAATCTCTCCCAACCAACCATCTGTAGCCACGTGGTGGAAATCGACTGATAAATATTTCAGTTTACTAAAATCCAAAAAATCATCTCCTTTATTTCTATCACTTGGTAATCAAATATTCGACGAGAGTTATTCTCTTGGAAAATCACTTAAAGATGAACATATTAAACAATTAGCAGCTAAAGGCGATCAAAAAAATGCAATTAACATTGTGTTAACGGCGTCTGACGTAGCCGTTGATCGGTTCTGTACCAGCCGATGTGGGACACATGGATCTTCTTTGAGTCCCAACAATACCCCTCCCAAGGGGAAGATTTACAAATTTGCCTATATTTGGGTTGGTAATTCGGAGACGCAATGTCCAGATCAATGCGCATGGCCGTTTCACCAACCCATCTACGGACCACAGGGTCCAGCCCTGGTCGCACCCAACAATGATGTGGGCTCGGATGGGATGGTGATAAACTTGGCTAGCTTATTGGCTGGGACCGTGACGAACCCTTTTGGAAATGGTTACTATCAAGGATTAGCTGACGCGCCACTAGAGGCAGCGTCAGCTTGTCCTGGAGTTTATGGGAGTGGGGCCTACCCGGGATACGCTGGCAATTTGTTGGTGGATCCTACTACTGGTGCTAGCTACAATGCGCATGGTGCTAATGGGAGGAAGTTCTTGCTACCGGCGTTATTTAACCCTTCCACATCCTCATGTTCTACTTTGGTTTGAAGAAATTATGTTTTTAATTAATTAGTGGGTTAGTTATAAAGAGAGTTGTACTAAGGGAAATTTAGTTAATAGGAAATTCTTTGATTCTATGTAATTCATATTCTTTCGTATCGATTGATAAATAAAATTATTCCTGATTTTTTGTTACATGTATTCTACTATTTCATAGCAAATTGGTATTGATTACAAAAGAAGAAAAAAAATTTGTAGTCTTTCTAGAAAAGAAACTCTTTTTGACAAGGATAATAAGAATTTGGGATGTATATTGCAATAGAAAATGACCATTTATTAATTGATGTTGAAAGGTGTGATCATCTCTACTAAAATGTTGTCAGAGAGAACATTTTTATTATTTAATTATATTCTCAGCACGCCACGTGCGGGCCTGATTTTTTTTCATGAGCCAATCACGTGAAAATTCTTTTTAATTTTAGGTAGCGGTGAGATTCGATGTCAGGACTTTTGCCTGCTCTGATACCATGTTGAAATGTGTGACCATCTCATCTAAAAGTTTAAGCTTTTAGAGAAAGTACACTTTTATTATTTAATGATATTCTCAACCATTGATAAAAAAAAAACCAAAAGATTTGCAATCGATTCTAATGGCTTCAACTGAGACATTGTAATAATTAAGACCTGATCACATATAAAAGTAACTTCCTTTTGTAATCACTCTTAGATGTGAATCAAAATTCTGTAGAAAATATGGGTTTATTATTATTTTCGTACAAATCATTGAACTAAAGATTGTGCTCTTATACGTCGTGCTAACTAGTTGGGCCTTTTCATTGAAATTTGCCTAAAATATGTTGATGGCCCAGGCCTGTCACAAGAAAGTATTGTGAAAGGAAAAATTATCTAAATACATATCTTATTTTATCATAATCTTTTTAAAATTCTCTATTATTTAAAAAAAATTCAAATATTCCCTCTATGATACATCACTCCCCTCTCGATGATACATCTCTACCTCTCGAATACATCCCTCCCCTCTTTGATACATTTTTTCCCTCTATGATATATCCCTCCCCTCTCGGATACATCCCTCCCCTATGTATCCAAATGTTCTATCCCCTCTCGGATACATCTCTTCTCTTTCGGATACATCCTTCCCCTATGTATCCAGATGTCTCCTGATGTATGAGATTTATGTATCCGAAATTCCAGTATGGGATTTATGTATTTAGCTCTTAATATTATGTGATTTATGTAAATTATACATTGGCAAATGTTGGCCCTGACTCCTTCTTTCTTAAATATAAGGACCGTTTTGCCATTATTTTTTATTTTTTATTTTTTTTGATAAACTACCTGATTAGACATACATGCATACCGCGTATACTAATCATATATATTCTTTCAAATAATTATGTATCTTACCACTTTTTCAGAGTTTTCTCTCATATATTGAGGAAGATATCTACACATAGATACGTGTATTTTGCTACTAGATACACTAAAATAGAAAAAGAGGCGAGCGAGATAGACATGTATCTCAGATGCATGCGAATCACATTAGATACATATATGCCAGATACAAAGGAGAGTGGCGAGCGAGATGGAAGGGAGATAATCGGCATTTGTTATGTATACCAGATACATGCAAATTCACTTGGCTACAATGTATCTACAATAAATTACACCTAATTTTGATCCCATGTATCTCGATATATATGTATCTAAACGTATTTGAATGCACAAAAATATGAAAAGATTCATAATATTGCAAACTAGTGTGTATCTCAGTAATTAGTTCCTAAACTAGTGGAATTTCTATTAATTTCCCTCCCATCTTTTTTGGGAAAATTACATGGTTAAGTAAACATATACTAGCTAATTAGTCATCATAGCTATAGTTTTAGTTAATTATCACTCGCGACCAACATTCAGTGATAATAATGTAGGTTGAAGTTTCGAGTTTGTATAATTCGTACATTTATATATTTTTGAATTTGTATAATATAATTTGTATAACTTTTGTATAATGTAATTTTGTATAATATAATTTGTATAACTATTTATAGTTCAGATGTTTGAGTTTGTATAAATTCGTTATTTCGAGTTTATACGAAAACAACTTAATTATATAAACGTACCCGTGAATTATACAAACGAGATAGCTTAAACTATAGTTACAGCCCGAAAAAATGCAAACTATAGCTTTGAAGCATAATTAAATTTATTATAGTGACTATTTGCGAAAATTCTTTTTTTTTTTTTTTTTTGAAATATCACTTTATTGAAGAATTAGTAGTCATTTGTCCATATTTTATTGTGAAAAATAAAAAAGTAGCTTTTGTTCTCAAAATAAAAAATTAAATTTGAAAATTGTTGTGTTATGCTATTAATACAATTGTTTTTCAATTCTTGTGAATAATATAAAGTAAACATATTTTTTGATGTTTTTCAAATTCTGAAAATAAATTAAAATTTAACTTCAACTTCAAAATTTTACGATCAAACATATTTTTCGATTCAACCCCTAAAAAGAAAAATCGACATTGTGTTCAACTAATGCACATACGAATCATAATGGAAGTAGACGTAAGTAGTCAACAGATACCAAACCAGTATTTAAATTTTTGGTTGAGAGATTGAAGATTTGATGGAAATGAACGTACAAACAAACGGCTCAATAAGTTTGATGCCTTCTACCCACCGTTTAATTGTGGATGACTGGATGCTACCTTACTTTGTCTCTCTTCTCCGTAACAAAAATTAATAATTTCTCGTTTCAACTTCTTTATCTAATTTTAACTTGACATGTTATTAAGAAATGAAATAAGACTTGTGAAATTTATGGTTTTAAATTAAAATTTTTGGTGTGTTTGGTACGAAGGAAAATATTTTATTGAAAAATAAGTTAATTTCTTACTTATTTTCTAGTGTTAAATTAAAAAATGTCCCAAGAACGTTTATATGTTATCTAGCAAAATATTATAAAAGTAAGATGAGATGGGAATGGGGATAGGGGTATGGTCAAGGGGTGTGAGGGTGAGCTGTATAGTTAAGGGATAGGGGTTGGGTGTGAGGGTGAGCGGGAGGAGACAATAAATTTGGAATGTCACTTATTCAATTAGTTTTTCCTACTTTCATTAGGAAAGTCATTTTCTCATTGTTAAAAAAATTGTTTTCCAGAGTAATATTTGTCAAAATCATACATAGGAATATTGAAGAATATTTTTTGAAAAATATTTTCCTCCATACCAAACACATTGTAACATGTCATGTCTAAAATTAAAACTGAAAATTAACAAAAGAATGAGTTTAACATTCAATTTTAAACGAACCAAAAAAATAAATTAAAACAGAGAGTATATATCATATACTCATGTCTATGTAACTCAATCGAGTTGTTGTCACGACCCAAACTGTCGTGATTGGCACCCACACTAACTCTTCAGTGGGAGAACCACCTACAAATCAAACCAAGCAACTAAACCAAAATTAAGGCATTTAAGTTACGAAAACAAGTTAAATACTAAGGAAATTAATAAGGAGTTCTCATAAACTCCAACAAAAGTCTAACAAGAACTAAACAATGCGGAAGAAATAATCTAGAACCTGAAAGTCAATGTACCAAAACATCTAACAATGAACCAAGTCTAAACAAGAAGGGATGCGATCCCCAACTAATGTACTAATAACTAATAGAACATAGTCTAGGTCTGGAAATGGTGGACATAGACGAAAGAGAACTCATGGTAGCCCGAAAGAATTGACTCACCCTTGAATTCGAAAAGTGCCAAATAAGATCATTTAAGGGTTTATTTATGACTTTAAGTCGCGTCTGGCCCGCTACAGCAGTCACCACCCCGCTACAATGGCCCCGCCAAGGCGGGTTGAACGAAACAGAGAGCTATTTAAAGAATTCCAAAATCTTTATTTCACTACCTCTAACCAACGATGCTCAGAAAATACCTTTTACGCTAAGATCGATTTCGGGAGTTCTACTCGCCCGAATTCAATTCCGTAAAGTCATACGGATTCCTTAACGAGTTATCTAACCACTCATGTAATCAAAATCATAAATAATTCACCCGATTGTTACCAGATTTCCCTACAGCTCAATGACTCCGATTTCGTCCAAATCTGGATAAGGTTGGCAACATCCAAATACTACGAAAAAGTTTTCCGGCCCCAAATTTTTCCCCATTGGCATTTCTATAACGACAGGAACAGGTCGTTACAGTTGTCGACTCAATAGTCATTCAGTGCCTTGATTGGTGTTTGACCAAGCTTTAATTACTCATGAATTATGAATAGCTATCTAGATATACTACAGTATTATTAAGAGAGTTTGTCAATGTCTAATTCAATGTTCGTTTAACCCTCTTCTTAAATATTAAGGCATGCTTGAAAATCTAAGGTACTACTATTAGGTTCTATAATTCCTAGGCTAGTAATTATAATGACTTACTAATTTATTTACCATAACATAATTATATATTTAGTTGCACATCAAGTAATGTTGAATTCAAGAGTGTACTTAAAATTCAATTAGTTGCACATCCAAGTAATGTTGAATTCAGAAATTTGATTAAGGGTGTACTTAAAATTCTATATATATGTATACATAAGATTTTGATTTATATACACGATACAATTTCCTAGATATGCATTATAATGTTTCAAAAAAAATTGCATGCATCTTGCCGTGGATAGATGTCTCATGCCATCTTTTGTGAACAGGTATGCCCGAGAATAAATTATAATGTAACTCTAAATAAGCCACTACTCTTGCTCCAACTAGTAATCCATAAAGGACTTTAACAAATATAAAATCGGAGGCCTATACCATACATCTTGCTGCCTTGAGATGACTGCATCTCAACAACATGACCAAATGGAGGTGGAAAACTCTTATATAAATTGGACGATAACTATCACCTTCTCTATACTGATATACACTCTAAAGAAGTAATAGAGAATATGACACATAATAAAATTTAGGTAACAATTAAAATAAGTATTTTTTTTATCTTTTATTTTATTTTACACCCGGTGTTCAAAACCCATATTGGAGCTCCGACTAAATTCGGATCGCACTCTGCCGTTCCCATTCAAGGGTGGCGCTCCCAACATAATTT